CAGCCCTGGCCGCCCCACTCCCTGCCCCCCCAGCCCTGGCCGCCCTCACTCCCCACTCTGCTGCCCCCAGGAACTGTACCAGCGTTGTGAGCGAATGCGACCCACACTCTTCCGACTGGCCAGCGACACAGAAGACAATGACGAAGCCCTAGGTGAGCCTGGGGAGAACAGGCGCTGGGCTCAGGGCCTGCTCATCCCTCTCCTCCCACCCCCATGGTTCTGTGTGGTTCTGCAGATGGAGAAACCACCACCAGGGGGCGCCCTTCCCCCAGAGAAAACCTTGATTTCTCTCCTGAGGAAGAAAGGAGCAGGGAGTGGGGCTCCCAGGGCTGAGAGACCCTGGCCTCGCCCTTTTGCATGCATCTTGCTGCCCACAGCCTGCAGGGGGGAGGGGTAATTGTCCCTGTTGCACAACTGGGGCTCCAGGAGGGAAGTGACGTGCCTAGATCACAGAACAGAGGAGTGACAGAGCAGAGCAGGGGGGACCGAGGGCCTTGGCCTCACAGCGGCCTCCCCGGTGAGGCGAAGGTGGAAGTCCAGAGCGGATCTCACACTCGGAGCAGCTCGAACTGGTCCCGGCGTCTCCTGCCAGGGCCTCACCACACCAGTTCTTGACCTCTGCCCACGTAGCAGCCAGGGTCCCTGGGGGGCAGCAGTGCTCTGAGCACCCCCACATGCCAGGTGCCTGGTCCCCCCCAGAGGCTCACGGCCCAGGTTGCTGTAAGTGCTGGCACTCGAGGAGCCAAACGTTGGTGCGGGTCTGGTTTATGCCAGGCACTGTTCTGAGCACCCAGGGATCTGGCAGTGGCCGGCTTGTGGAGCTCGTAGCTTAATGAGAGCAGAGAGACACTAACCCAAACTCGCGCACAGTGACGGCTTGTCCCATGGCGGTGCAGGTGACGGAGAAATAAGCAGGGAGGGCCGGGGAGGTGGGGGCAAGGGAAGCCTCCTGAGCGGTCTTGGTAAGAGCCGCAGGCAGGAATAGGTGAAGCCGGCTGAGGCCTGGTGCACCCGGACACTGAGCTGAGCGCAGGGGTCTGTTCTGTGCTTGGGATGCAGACAGGTGGGAGGGCGACTGGGGGGAGGCTGCGAGGTGACAGGAGTAGCAGAGGGCCCATGCCTGAGTAGACACAATGGGGCAACCCCACCCTCCCCTCCACACGCAGGCTCTGTGGATGTGAGGTGCCCAGAGGGCCCACATCCCTTCATTCTGGCTGCTCCCTCCTGTCTGTTCCAGCGGAGATCCTGCAGGCCAATGACAACCTCACCCAGGTGATCAACCTGTACAAGCAGCTGGTGCGGGGCGAGGAGGTCAACGGTGATACTGCCACAGGCCCCATCCCCGGTGAGCAGGAGGCAGGAGGGACGCCAGCCGAGGCCCAAAGTGCAGTGCAGGGTGGGGCACAGACCAGAGCTGGCGGCATGCCTGCCAGGGTTACCCTGGCCCCTCAGGGAGGGAGCTGGGGTGAGGCCAGGCCAAGCCTGCAGCTGGAGGGGAGGGAGTCTGGTTGGGGGCAGAGGGAGGGAGCGGGGTGTGGTGGCAGGAGGGCCAGACGAGGGAGGCTCTCCTTTCATTCCACAAATCTGGCACCCGTGGCCTGTGGTGTGGGCTTAGATGACATCCCCAGGGAATGACTGCTCACAGAAGGTGGGTGGGAGAGTACACAGCATGGCAGGCTCAGCTCCAGCGAGGGTGAGGTGAGCCCTGGGGCCATGGGCTGTGCGGGCCCTGCTAGGGAGGAGTGGCACTGAGGCTCCAAGAGCAGCAGCTTAAGCAGAGCCTTCATGGGTGGGTAGGATTGCCAGTAGAGGTGAGAAGGAAATACATTCTGGACAGAAGCACCACCGTATGCTGAAGAAAGGGCCCTGCAAGCAGTCTCCAGACAAGGGTTCGTGGGCCACAGAGGGGACAGTGGGGGACAAGTGTTGTCACAAGCCCTGGTCTCCAAGAGTCAGAGTCCTCCCACCAGGACTTACTGGACTCTCCTTTCTCACCCAGGGAGCACCTCGGCCCTGCTGGACCTCTCTGGCCTGGATCTCCCTCCTGCGGGCACCACCTACCCAGCCATGCCCACTCACACTGGCAGCCAGGCCAGCCCTGAGCAGCCCAGTGCCTCGGTTTCCCTGCTTGACGACGAGCTCATGTCTCTGGGTGAGGAAGGGGCCTGGCCTGGAGGGGTAGGCTAAGCGGCAGATGGGGCGTGGCACGCATAGCGTACCTTGCAGCGGGCAGAGCACCACTGTGTACTCACACACGGAGCCAGCTGGCCACGAGGGGCGCTCGGAGCCCGTGTCACAGTTAGAGCCACTCAGGATCCCCGGCCATGGGCTCCAGAGGTGAGGCTGGCCAGCTTCTAGACCAAGTGCAGAGGGGCTAGCCACACCTGGGTTCCTGCAGCTGGAGCGAAAAGCAAGGGTTCCGCTTCAGCAGGTTAGGACCTCACATTGGAGCTATCCAGGCAAGAGTTCAGCAGTTTCTCTGCCCACCGATGGGAAGAGGGGGAGCCCCAGCTCCAAAGCACCCTCACACCAGAGCACAAGTCCCTCACACCCCAGGCTGGTCCAGGGCAGGCGCAGGGCTCTGAAGCCCAGCAGGGGACCAGGCCCTCCTGGGGACAGGCGGAGCAGGCCCAGCAGGCCAAGCCATCTTCAGGCTCCAGCTTCGCTCAGATGCAGCAGTCCCATGTGAGACTGACAAGCGGGAGTGTGTGAGAATGGCCTCTTCCGAGAGCACTGCCGTTAGGAGAAACAGGTGTGGGGCCCTGTCCAAGGAGCCTGAGGGTTCGGTGGGGACTGGAACTTGGGAGCCGAGGCAGACTGCTCCCACGAGCCAACGCTGAGCTAGAACCCACACCTGAAGGTCTTGGAGGAACGATTGTACTGAGAGTTGCAGGCAGGGGTCTGCCGGCGTGCACGGAGTGCGTACTTACGCACAGGTCCCACTGCTCTCCTGATCTTAGGCCTCTCGAAACCATGGCAGGCAGGTGCTCCCCAGCCCCCTCCAGAGGTTTTTGCTATAGGGCACGTGCATTCACCAGAAAGACAGAGACAGAGAGACAGAAAGCAACAAATCACCCCCCAGGGAGGATGGCCACACCACAATTCCTTCTCCTCCATTCTCCCCTCGGGATCTTGGGCACGCATAAACATGCGCTCAGCATGAGTTTAAGCCACCAGGTCTGGGACTTGAACCACAGTCGACAGTTGACTACATGGGAGTCCAGCAGCATAGCCATTACGCCAACTGCTGGTCCCTGCAAGTGCTTTTCAAAATACAGGTTTATTTCTTCCATGAGCAAGAGAGACAGAGGCAGAGGTTTGTTTTTATTTTTTTTAAGAGACTTTGCTAGAGGGTGTGTGTGCTCGCCAGAGAGACAGAAAGCGAGAAATCATGCACCAGGGGGATGGCCATGCTGTAATCCCTTCTCCTCCATCCTCCTCTTAGCCCTTTGTGCATGCACTCACTCGCGCCTGGCGTGGAGTTTCAAGCCGCCAGGTGTGGGACTCAAACCACAGCTGGCCGTGTGGGAGTCCAGTGCCTTAGCCACTGTGCCACCTGCTGGCCCTCCAGCAGGAGCTTGAGGCCATGATCCACCCCAGCCCTTGATCATAGGCACACACATTTCCAGTGTGTTCTATGAGGTCTCCGGACGTGAACTCAGAACCTTTCCACGTGGGTCAGCCTTGCAGAATGTTGGGTTTCCCTCCTCCACCATCATCTACCCCCCCATGCTGTAAATATCCCCATTTTACAGATAAGGAAATTGAGGCTTAGAAAGGCTGGGTGACTCGTATTCTGAAACCGCCCTGAGCCACTGTGCTGCTGAGCGGAAAAGAAAACGAGGACCTGGAGGGGAGATCAGGGGAAGGTGGGCCCGGTTGTGAGTTTGCTCTGTGGACCCGTAAGCCTACACTCCTCACGAGCCTGCTGTCCCCTTCCGTTCGGAGACAAGGGGCAACTCGTACCCGTTGTACCGGGAGATGAGGACGGGCTGGTGACAGGCAAGCTCGTACAGCCTCATCTTCCCGCAGAGCTGGGGCGCAGCTCCCTGGTCAGCCCGTCGGTGGACAGGGCGGTGACGGCAGGTGGCTGTGGCTAAGCCGCCTCGGCGTGAGGTGTGCTTTGCACTTCCTGTCCCTGAGGTGCCTCGGCAGAGCCGTGAGCCTCCAGCTTCCTTCTGGCTTCTCAGAGGCAGAGAGTGTGGGAACAGGAACCAGAAGCGCATCACAGCACTGGCCCAGCCCTGGCAGTGGAGGAAGCTGAGGCCGCTGGGGCCACGGGCTAGTCCTGACGGTTCTCCAGGGCAGGGGTGGGGCAGGTTGTTCTGTGTTGAAGGTCCAGGGACTCGGTCTGCCGTGTGTGACGTGGGACAGCTGTCCCCGGGCATAGATACCACTGCAGTCTCCCTCCACAGATGAGAGCAGAGGCTCAGTCACAGCCCCGGGCCACACAGCCGAGACCCAGGGCAGTTCAGGCTCAGGGACTGGGCCAGCTCTCCCCTCTGGGCTCTGCTGGCCAGCCGCGTGGCCCAGGGCAGGGTCTGCAGTCCCCTGGCGCCCATTTTTGTCATCCCTGAGAGGGCTGTGGGCCTGCACCACCTCAGGGTCCCTGGGGATTAAGGGGACCCGTGTCTGACATCCCCACCCACAACTGGGGGGGTAACACGTGTCAGCACATGTCAGCAGTTACCGCTCCGTGGCCTCTGGTCTCCAAGAATCGCATCTAGGGAAGAGGCCCAGCAGTCACAGCGCCTGTCCCCTGACCTTCAGGCCTGTCACACATTTCCATGTGGACCTCACCCAGGGTTTGCAGGACACAGGAGAACCCATCCTTCCTGGGCCAAACCTCGGATGAACTTGCTGGAGTATTCTGGGGTGGGCAGGTCAGGCTGGCAGGTGACCTGTTGCCTCTTGCCCAACAGCGGGCTGTCCTAAGGCCACCAAAGGCCATGTGGAAGCCCGCAGCTCTCCTTAGCCCCATGGTACCTTGAGTGTCTTCCCGGCCCTGTCGTCACACCTGTGGGGACATGAGGCTCGGCCAGCACAGTGCCTTGCCTCGGTCACCCAGAGAGCATCCCTTGAGTTGGTTACGGGCAGGTGCTAACTCACCCTCCTGGGTCGGTGAGGTTAGGAACCTCTTCCACCCCGTTTCCCCACTGAGGAGGCTGACAGTCCTGGCTGCTGTGGCTCAGCTGGCTGGCTCTGTGCAGCCAGCTAGGAGGGCCCAGGTTGGGGTGACCGGATCTTTAGGTTCTGTCTCTGCTTTGCTGTGGGTTCTGTCTACAAGTGTGGGTTTCTCCCCCTGCATTAAGCCTCTCAGGAAGTGGGGGGAGCCAGGGAACCCCCCAGTTAGCACATGCCCCCCTCCCGGGTC